GCCTAAGAGGGAAAACATACTTAAATAAATATAATACTACAGAGTGATGAGCCAAGAATTGACTAGCAATATACAAAATATTTATTAATATAAATAAAATTAATAAATTGAAATAAAATAAAATTAATATAAGTAGTGGTCATGATGGTGCATGCCCGTAATCCCAGCACTTGGGAGGCTGAGTCAGGAGGATTATTGCGAGTTAGAAGCCAGCCTGGGCTACATAGCAAGTCCCTGTCTCAAAAACCCCAAAACCAAGCAATCAATCAACTGATATAACTTAATCATAGACTATGGAATATTTGTTATTTTAGTTACTTAATATTTCTGTACAAACACTTGGAATCCTTAAGATAGTGAAGCTTCTAGTATATATAAATTAATTTTCAATACTAAATACCGAGAATAAAATACACAAGTTACTTCAAAAAGGCTTATGTGTCAACATAAATTCAAATGTAGACAATTCTTTTACTATAAACAAGCATGAGTTCTTTAGGATTAAGGAATGCCATGAATCTACCTAAAATGGTAAGTGAATTGAAGGAATTTTAAAATTTTATTTTTAAATACATTCAATTCAAATGAAAAACATACCTTTTTGAGACAACCTAAACATCACTAAAATAATTACTCTGATAACCAACCTTCAGATGAAAAGACTCTAAGGAAAAAGAGTCACTGTCACATTCAAGTACAAAACATATCTTAAAATTTCCCTTTTGAGAAAAATGCTATATGATCAATATACCAAAAGGAGAATAACTTGGTCCACAAAATCCCTTCCAAGTGTTTTTTTTATGATTTCAATACAGTAAACAGCATGTCAAATAGAATTAAAAACAAATAAAATTAGAATGCTACTCTCTATAACTAAAGAGACAATGACAGATCCCAGTAATTTATGAAAGAAACAAGAATTTATGAAATCAGTAATTCATGAAAAAATTTACAAGTCTATAATTAAAATCTATAATAGCATTTATTGTTATACAACATAAAAGCCCTGTTATGAATTTTCATTAAGAAAATATTAGGCTTTCAGTTTATCTTTTGTAGAAATTCCTGTTTACATTAAAATCTGTAATAAAAAGAAACTACTACATTATAAACAAAGATAATATATGACATTTACATAGCATCTCCCTCAAGGTAGAAGAAACCATACATAAACATATGTAAAGTGTATTTACAAAGGAAGCAATAGATAAATAATGTGCCTGCTTTACAACAGAAAGTCAACCAACAAAATCTCTTTAATATAATTAACTTTCTTATAATGCTATATTAAATAATTCCTCCTAAAGCCAAAGCTTGATGAGCAGCTTAACAGCAAAGCTACACTGTAAAATCCTTGGAAAAACACTCTCATTGAAATGGTATTTTAAAAACTAATTTACTCATTATTCTGATACTCCCCACCCCACATCTGAATGTTATAAATCAACTATAATAACATTATACAAAATACATGCATCTACAATTCATGTTATTTCTCAATATATTGATAATTCTTTACTAAACTCCCACAATCCACTTGAGTAGTAGAAATGGATCTCTACCTTTGGCCAACAAAAGCCACCCTTGTATTAGAGAAATCCTGTATTTTTCTTCATACTTAATCTTTGGACTGCAAAACTTTTAATTTGGGAGGGGAGGCAAGTATAAAACAGCAATGAAGAACTATCAGTATCTTTACATTATATAGGAAGAATGAATGAACAGAAGCAAACACTTTGATAAAGATGACTGTAACACAGACACTGTTTAAAAGGAGAAACTCAATTTTCAAGTTTCATTAGTTCCTTCCTTTTCTGTCAGAAAGGGCACTGTGATAGAATTCACTATTTCCACCTTATATTTTCTATAACATTTTAAATTAAGAATGAAAAAACTCATTTTAGAAATAATATTAGAAGCTTCCAACCTGTAACAAGTCACTCAGGACCCTAATTCTAATGAACTGTATTCTAATGAACTGTATTAATTGTGTTAGTAAATGAATAGAACTAAGTTTTGTACTTTTCTGTAAAGGCTAGTATTCCAACATATTTTTGAGGATCAGCTTAAATTTTCACATGACATTTTCACCATGAGTGTTTTGCAAGGATCAACCCCTAAACCCAAAATCAAGAAATATTACACTTCAAATGACTAACTCACATTCTACAATCATTATAGTCAATAACTTAATAACAAACATTTCCTTTTGTTATTCATTCTTTGTCTCAAGAAGTTTCCATTTAAAAATTGGTAGAATGTTTAAATACGAATAAAGAAATTGTAAACCTAACGTTTTTAATTCCAAAAATCAATGCCGGTACAAGGTCTTAAGTGGACTGTGGGGTGTATTAGTCCAGCACTACATATTTCCACGAATTTTAAGCGTGACAGTAAAGACAGTACCTAAAATGATGCTTGCATACTTCATGGTAGACATTCACTGAACTGAAGAGTTAAATTTGCTTTTACCTGAAGATAAACATCTCACTTCCATTCATAAGCTATATCTAAAGAACCCCATCTGTTAAGAACTCATCCAGCATACACTGCAGATTGCAAACTGGTTACACATTCAAATCAGCACCCAGCTTTTGAAAGCTGGACTGCCTCTATCAGGTTAAAATGAACTAGGTAAGCGTACAAATAGTATTATCACATCATCTAAAGGAAAAATGGTATTGATTAGAGAAAAACTGGGGAGAAATCCTTATAATGTGTTCCTTTAAACATACAGAGGTACAGTACCAGTTACCATACTAACTTAATTTTTGAGATTTCACCTCTTTTCTATTAAAAAGAAAAAAAAAGACTAGCTCTGACTTCCTATTTTCAGCTATTTAAAACTAAAACTCCTTAGAAAACCTGTATCTCTGTTAATGTTCTGAAAATAACTGGGTATATGAAGCGAGTGACAGTCTCTCAAACTTACACTGCCTTTTTTGTGGTGATTTGTTTGAAGGGTAACAAAAGTAGAAAGGTGTTTGTATTTAAACAGCAATAAACATAAAAGACAGATAATCTTTGACTAAACACGCAAATAAGAAGAAAAAAAGAACTTTAACTTCTCTGTGGATTTGAGAAGTTCATACACCACAGACATTATTATCTAACCGCTGTCTCAGGGCACCACTGCCATAGCTGCAGCTTTCTTTCAGTTTTCCAATAGATCAACTAAAAATAATTGCTTATCAGAAAAATCACACTGCATAGGTGTTATAAAATCCTCTGGCAAGCATATTTTTATATTCCTGTAACTCCACACCAAATACAGCAGTCAACTCATTGCTCCTGATTTACACCTCGCCTTCCAAAACCCAACCTTACAGTATGTCAAACCCTAGATATTGCAGAGAAAACTGCTTAAAAAGCTTCGCTGTGAGGCAGGGGGGAAATACATTTACATAGCACTAAAAATGAACTACTCCTAATTATGCTCTATTTATGATTCTTCTCTCCTTGTTTCTTCCCCCTTTCTTCCTGTCATCTTGAACGCATTTTAGCCTCTCTGTAGATAGCGCAAAACATTAAGTCATACACAGTTCTGCAGTAACTCTTTAGCATGAAAGGAACCAAAACCTTCGGCTGCGTTTAACATCTTTCCTTTAGTCTTTATCCACACTCCAGAAGGCAACCATAGAAACCAACCTGTATGATTTGGTGCCCTTGCATTTTAACACTTTGTAGGCACATGCACAAAAATGACTAAGAGATGAGCATATTCAGGGCAGTACTACAAAAGAGGGAACGCTGCCTAAAAGATGAGGGTGGGGGTGGGTACTGGCACAACCCTCTCCATCACCGCCTCGGAATATAAAGACAGATGCAAAACTGCATCAATTGCCTCCTCCCTCGAAAACATCACACCCCAGCTGCTTAAACTGGAGCTAATGCGCTTCTCGCATTTCAAGAGCACGAGGGAATTTAGGCTCCAGGGGCACGACTGTCATCATCGGAGAGCGACACCGCGCACGGACAATTAAGAGTGTGGGAGAAGGAACCTCCTGAGAACGCGAGGTCTCCTCTAAACTCTAAAGTCGACCCAAAACCCTGCCGGCACGACCGATTTACTCGTAGTCACGAGAAGTGATAGGAAGCGGTATTAAGTTGGGCACTGTGCTCAGGTGCCCAGAGGGGACCGGAGGAGAGGAGGGAGGTAGCGCGCGGCTCGGGCAGCGCGCAGGCGGGTCACCCGCTGGGCGACACCGGCCACCGAGCTGTGCTCCCGGGCCCGCGCCCGCGTGTGAGCCGGGGGTGGAGAAGTGGGGACGCGAGGCTCGGGGACAGGCATGCGGGGGCTGGGGAGGCAGAGGGAGTGCACCCCCGTTCCCTTACCAGGTTGAGCACCGTCTCCACGATGTCCCTGTTGCTGACCTCTCCGACCTGTATGAGTCCGATCAACACTGCGAATTTCATCCGGATGTTGCGGATCGGCACCGAGGGGTTAATCATCCCCGCGGGCAGCACCACCGAGCCGGAGCCGGACGCCCCCCGCGGCTCCCCCATCCCGCCGCCTC